CAGTTGTGAAAGTTGTCTATTAATTTTCCCTATGTTTCTCAGTTTTAGAGCATAAAATTTCCTTTTCTAAAAAAAATTCTAATTGAGGGTCAGGAAAGACGGCTCAACTTTTAAAAGTACTTGCTGATATCAATGAGGGTTGGAGTTTGACTCCTAGCCCCAATGTCAGGTCTCTCACAAACACCTGCTGCTTTAGTTCCTGTGGATTTGGTGCCCTCTTTTGACACCTGTATGAACCTGCACACACATGGGCATGTGCTTGTGCATGCTCTATCTGTCTGTCTTTCATACACACACTACTATAATTGAGTATATATTTAAAACCTGCCATAAGATTAAAAAACATGACTAGAAAATTGTATCATTCTTGATTACACAGAACATACTGCTTGGTTTTAAATAAATTTAATATTTAAAAAAGAAAATACTCAAATATTCATAGTAGGGAAATACAAATTAAACAACAGTGAAATATTGATAAATGCACAGTGAAATAATTGAATTTTGGATAATATGTAAATGTTGATAAAGAAGTAGGGGAATTAAAGTTTTTTATCATTGTTAGTAGAAATGTAAAGTGTACAAGTACTTAGCCTCATATAAAAATAAACCTGTGCATAGTGATTTTATAATTCATCTATCAAAAATTTAAACAAACCTAGGTGTCCATGCATAGGGGACAAGTCTAATAGACTACTACTAATGAAACACCACTCAACTAAAAAGAGAAGGTAAAATTGTTGATATCTGTACTATGAAGGCTGAACACAAAAGTAATTATACTCAGAGAACAAAAGCTTAAAAACTGGATACTTTGCATTATGCCATTTACAAAGATATATAAAATGAGTGATTAATAATAATGATGAAAATAGATGTAGTATATATATATATACATATATATATGTATATGTATATGTATATGTATATATATGAGGTAGTAGTGCATAGAGCTCCAGGAAACCCTTTGCCTACAATGAATTGGCTTATGATACTGTTTGCAATGATAAGTTCATACTTGCATATATATATTCAAATACACCAAATTGTATGTACTTCATGTGTATTCTGTCAATTGTACTTCAATGTAGTTACCTAAAAAATCAAGAAGAAAACCAAAGCAAATTAGATGACACTATTCTACTTACTCTCACCTCATTATTGCATTTGAATACATGTATTATTTCATATTTCTCCTTAGGAAACAGCCACCTTCACTGAAGGGATTTGCTATAAGTTAGTTAAACAATGATACAAATGTGGGTTGGCTGATTTTCTAGATTGTGGTCATTCTTTACCCTTGATGCTATCATGTAGAAATTTTAAAACAGTCCACTAATAGCAAAGATAAGGGAAAAAAGGCTTTGAAATTGACTCAGTAGGTAAAGTGGTTTCCACAGTGAGGATCTGAGTTTGAATCCTCAGAACTCATGTAAGGCCAGGCATAGTAATGCATGTATTCGATCTCCATGTTTCTAGGAGAGCTGAGGGGAGACAGGTGAATCCCTGGCAGCTCATGGGACAGTTTGCCTGGTGTGTGCAGTGCTGAACAACAAAAAGAGACCTTTTGAAGGAGGTGGAAGGCAAGGACCAATACCTAAGGATGTTCTTTCTCTTTCACACATGAATTGTGGCAAGTAGGTGCCTATATATATATATATATATATATATATATATATATATATATATATATATATATATATATATATATATTATGTAAACATGCATTCAGGCACATGCACACCCTTGAAGAAATAGTTTAATCCTTACTAGGATGTCCTTTCTTTTCAGCAAAAGAGGAAATAATATTATTGAAAAAAATGAGCCAGTTTTATACTTTTGTGGATAAAAGCCCAGACCAAGACATTATTTCTGAATTGCAGGCTTGACATTGAACTGTAGTATTTAAAGGAATAAGAGATATCTTGTAATGAATTAGGTTTTAGACCCATAGCTGGATATGTGTTGCTCAATTAATCAATGTGATTAGCAATGCATCTCTCCCTCCTTATAGATTCAAGATTTGATTTAAAAAGAGAATATAAGAAGATGCTTCACTCACCACAAAATACCCTGCTTATTCTCTTGTGTTGTGGACAGAGAAGTGAATCCATTATCACTTGCTGCTACCAATTCTCAGCACAGTATTTGTCTCTATGAGTTTTCACTTGTTAAACAGGAGGGAAAACATTTACCTTAACAATGCTGTGCAAAGCTCAGCTGAACTACATTTAAAGTGCCGGGTACGATGATTGTTTTGTGTTGAGTATTGAATGCATTTGGCCATTGTGTACTAAGATTAATGCTTAATTCAGTATATAAGTTCATATTCATAAATCTTTAAAGGTTATTAAATCTCACAGTGGTGATGCATCACCTGTTGTCTTTACTGCAAGGGAGAGAGTATTTGAATTCTAAGGCAACTAAGTTATATTTAAAAATGAGTAGAAAGTAAGCTGTAATATCCATAATCACACACACACACACACACACACACACGCACGCACGCACGCACGCACGCACACACACACACACACACACACACACACAGAGAGAGAGAGAGAGAGAGAGAGAGAGAGAGAGAGAGAGAGAGAGAGAGAGAGAGAGAGAGTTTTCCTTTTCGTAGCCACAAGCAGAACTATTTAAGAAAAGTCTAGAAACAGCACTATCCTGTTAAAGCAAATGTTAGACAAACACATTTTAAGTTTATATGCTTCAATTGAATTTGAAGTTTCTATGAAAACAAGGATTAAGAATCTGGAGATGCCGCTGCATGTCTTGCAGTGATTGTTTCCAATTGGTTAACTGTTCTTTTCTGTGTGGATTTCTGACCTATGACTTGGATGTGGTGGAGAAGACTTTCAATGCTATCAGTTTCTGAATTCTGACTTCTAACAGAAAATAAAAGCTAAAACCAGGCCTGAGCGTTGTTGCTGTTGAAATGTGGTATAAAGACCTGGTGTCAAGAAGAGCCAGTACTCAGAGAGCACTGGTCGATGTGAGCCTACCCTAAGCAGGTCACATCTCTTCTCCATTCTGTCCCAATAGAGAGCTGAGCTGTTTTCTACCTGTTAACAGGCTGAAGCTTTTCTCTCCTTAGACGGTCTTGTTGAGTGGATATTCTGCAGCTAATCCACAGGTTATGACTCGCCCTGGCGTTTGTTTCAGAGCCGCTTGCTCATCCTGCTGTTGCACCTCTGTGCAGGAGGTATTTAATTCTCAGTCACACATTGTTTCCCAGAAGAAATATCATGAAATGTTTTTCTGCATTCACTAGAGACTCAGAGATATGCTGAAGTGCTATCCCCTAAGGAATTTTACTTTCTCCATCCTTTGAGAGTAACAAAAGAAAGATGTACAGGTTTATTTGAAAATATGATGCTGTAATAATGATCTGGTGTAAACACTGCCATTTAATTTTTTGTTATTATTTTATTTCTTTTTTTTGGATATGGAGTCTCATTATGAAACCCTGGCTGGACTGGAACACCCTGTGTGAACCAGGCTAGCCTTGAATTCAATGAGATCTGCCTGCTTCTGACTCTCCAGTGCTGGGATTAAAGGTGTGCCTCACCACATCCTGCATTCACAGGCTTTTTAAAAATTGTCTAGGCTAAAGAATCTTTTGTGGTATGATTTAAGAGATGAATGAGAAGGCTTTATGTTTATACCTGAAAGTCCTTTGAAAAAGTTATTTCCTATAGAATGACACTAATGTATTAAAGAAAAAGTGTCATGGGTAATTAGTAAAAGAAAGGAAGACAAGAAAACTTTCAGAAGTGTATATCTGTTAATTCAAATTTTCTGTATAACATCAGTGTTTTAAATGTCTAAATGCATCCAAATTTACACATTGACTATGTGAAGTTCTTTTTAGTGTATCATCTGTGAGTGATGCAATACCTTAAAAACAGTAAGTTGAGGCAGGGTCTCCCTAGGTAGGCCAGACTATGCTCACACACTGGAGTGATCAGGTCAGATGTGAGGTGTGTGCAATATGGCTTCAAAGTCTTACAAGGAAACCTCACACCATTCTGTATTTTAATAATTATGTTTTTGGAGATTTTAGATATGTTTATAAAAAGGGTGTAATGGTGAGGAAATAATTTTTAAATTTTAATTTTCTGGAGACCTTGATACATGAATACTATATTTACATCTTTCCCAGGCCTTCGTTTCCCCCATTCAAAACCAATTGGGCCTCCACTTCTTCACAAATTTATGTTTCTTCATCTTCTTTTATAATTTGTATGTGCATACTCCTATTTGTTGGTTATCTCTGGGTAATAGATGCACCAATTTACACTTTTCCCCAAAGCCACGAGAAATGATAGAGCTAAGAAAGACCTAGGAAACTTTCCAAAGTGACACAGTCACTGAAACAAAGAACAGAGGTGTCACCCCTCAAAACAACCCTGGGGTCTCAGTCGCCCAGTGTCCCCCCATCCCACCCCTCACTGTCACCCAGTGACCTAACTTCTGTGTGTACATAGCTTTCTTGCAGCGAGTGACCCAAGAGATGGGCCTAACCTGCTCTTTTGTGGACTCAGATTTTCCAAGCAGACACAGTCCCAGCTTTCAGAGGAGGCAGAGGAAGGTACAATGGCGCTTAGGGACATAGAACGGAGAAATCATTCTCCAACGGGTTCTGGGTTCCCAAGGGAGAAGCAAAGACATACATAGGAGACTTGATATTTTCTAAATTTCAGAGAGGAAACATGTAGATTTCATGGATGAGAGAATCAGTCCTCAGAGACCATGGTATGAGAACCATATCCTATTTAAAACTGGTGTGGATACTTTCCAGCATATTCTGAAGTCTCTGGTAAGAGTGGGCCGCACCCAGCTGGACCACAGTGACAGATGGTCTTCTTTGAAGAGAACTTCATTGCAATATAATAAGTTGGGATGCTCACCTTTAAGGAAACGTGAAAGAAATAAATCTCACTTACTTTTGTGTGTGGAGTCAAGAGTTTCAATAACTCCTTCAAGGAGAAAGACGTGTTCTCACTGAAGCTGCGCTTGTTTGTGAATGTGATAGAAAAGAAACAGCAGAATCAGAAGAGTTTAAGCAGTCACATAAGGTAAGGGGAGTACTTTCAATATTCTGCTTTGTTAGAGGACTGGCCTGAAGCAAAAGCCATTCTGGTGTTAATTTCCTGAGATACCCACTGATTCAAAATTCCAAAAGCACCTAGAGATGAAGGAAATGTATTAAATTAACTCTATGTCCATTTTTATTGCTCAGAGGTTTGTAGTTGTTAGAATAAAGATAAACAGCAATAAGAAATATGATTCTATGACTTATTAAAATTCATTTTTATTTATTTTTGAGATTGTAATAAAATTACATCATTACCCTTCTCCTAATTTACTTCAAGCCCTCCTATATACCCTTCCTTGCCATTTTAAATGTAAGAAGTACTTTAGGAAATTTTACAGTTATTTTCCAATACATGTAGATGTGCAAAGACCAGTTCAATATTGTCTGGACTGTGGGTTTGCCTGCAAAATCACAGCAGAGTGGGAAGGAATCATATTGCAGAGAAACAGGACATATTCTTTTAAAATAGAGTAGGGATGTGAGGCTTGGTGGCTCATCCCTGTAATTCCAGCTATGGAGAGGCTGTGGTAGGAGGGTCTCCAGTTCCAATTTAGACACAGGGAGGATCTACATAAGAAGAAAACAAAAGAAGACTCAAGAGCATGATTCACAAATAAGGGTGTAAAACAGATCCTATTTTCTTTTTTTTTTTTCTTTTTTTTGGTTTTTTCGAGACAGGGTTTCTCTGTGTAGCTTTGCGCCTTTCCTGGAACTCACTTGGCAGTCCAGTTTAGCCTCGAACTCACAGAGATCCACCTGGCTCTGCCTCCCGAGTGCTGGGATTAAAGGCGTGCGCCACCACCGCCCGGCAGATCCTATTTTCTATAACTACGTGAACTCGTAGTTCCTTTGCTGGAGATACAGTCTTTTGGGGGCAGCAATTAGGGTTGTCCCAGACCTCACACATGCTAGGTCAGTGCTCGACCACTGAGGTTATCCCCAGGTGACATATGACTTCACTGTAACTACATCAATTCAGCAGTATGAATGGAGCTCATATAATTGAGCTGCCATGCACCAGTGCCCACTTCAACATTGATGGTGTCATTATAAATTATTTCAAATTGTTTATTAACAAGATTTAATTTGAGTATATATTTATGCTCCATTGAGGTAGCTTTGTGACTCTTGGGAAGTTAATAATTTGCACCTTATATTTGCTCTCTGCTCATCCCATAGACATTCAATAAAATAACGTAACCAAACATTTAGCTCAGGGCTCATACAACATAGACATAATTAAAAGCATATTTAGCACATTGTACTACTTTTTTCTTTTACTGATGATTACTTTCTATTCATCATTTCTAGTGCTTCTGAGGCATTTTATTTTCACTATTTTTGTTAGACTTCTATTCTCATGGGAATTATGTTTGGAAATATGACAAAAATGATTTGTTCTTATTTTCTGGAGATGAAATTATTTTTAATGTCTATTTTTTATTTTATGTGCATGAGTGAGTGTTTTGTCTGCATGTATGGATATACCATGTGCAGTATCCATGGAGTGTTGGATTCCCTTGAACTGGTGGTATAAATGGTTTTGAGCTTCTTTGTGGATGCTGATAATCAAACCCTGGTCCTCTGCATGAGCAGCCAGTGCTGTTAACCACTGATCCATCTCTCCAGAGCCTGAAGATGCCATTCTCAAAGTTTGTCTGTGCCAGTGAATCACTGACCTGGACAATGTCATGTTGGGAAAGGGCAAATATTGTGGCAATATAATATCCACATTATTGCACAAAATGTACCACTGGTTAGCTGAGAACCCCGATATTCCAATGTCTAATCTTAGGATTATAACTTCCAATACTCCATCACTGATAGGTGAGGTTCATATATAGTAACAGAAGCAATGACACCTCAACAGAGTTATAGTAAATATGAAAATATGAGGGTTTGTAGTGAGTAACTCTTGAGTGCCTATCTCAATGGAAACTATATATCAATATTAATTTGTATGTAAGGGTGTTTCTGGAAGACAAAATCAGATCTTGTCCTCTCTTCTAACCAGCTGTATGTATTTAATATCTTCTTCATTATCATTGTGAGCAAAGGCATTGGGTAATGTTGGCCCTATACTTTAATTTTAGAATGTATCAAGGAAACACCTTTCTGTGAGTGATATGAGGTTGGTCCAGCATACTGAACCATAATTTCCTGGGGAGGCTATGTCAATTTAGTTTACTGGTAAATAATATGAGATAATGAAAAGTGTGGGGTCCTGGAATAGGTGTGAAAAGTCTATCTGGTATGCAGTGCTGTGTAAGTTGTTGCTTAGAGAATAAAGCTGGCATCTCTTCTGAGCTGTTCTTTTTACTATTTTATCCTCTATTTGACTTCATTCCATGCTGCTAGGTGTTAATTTTACTTACATTCCGATTTTGTGTTATTAAAGTATTTCTTTTGATTCTTTATTGCTATTAGGCATTTCTATGTGCTGTGTTTTATGGTTCTGTTATTTTGTTTGTTAGTATTGCTAACTAAGTTTAACTACGAAGGCAAACATCAAAATTTTGTTTCTTCAAGGAGTAACATGCAGTTTTTCCTCAATAATGCTTGAATTCATGTAACTGTTAAATCAGGTTTAAAAGCTTGAACAATCTAGTACATAGTTGTTATCCATAGTTAACCTGCTTTATAATAGTTGTGTGATCTTGTGAATTTCGGTGCAATGATTTGAACTTTATTGGATGTTTATGCTGTATTTTTCATCATGAGTGTTTATACATCTTTACAATCTGGTTCTTTAATCATTTAGAGCGTATTACTGAACTCTCTTGATGTTTAGTTGATTTAAATCCCTTGACTGCATGAGATAGCTTCAATTTCTTTCATTGTCCATAAAAATATAAAGTACACAGAAATTCAAAGACCCTCCTTGCTACTCTTGACTCATTTTGCTAACTTTTAACATTTTCAGTTACTGTGTATGGACTGAGAAAAAGAAGTCAGTGGGTTAAATAACATGAGCCAATTTTCTTCAATTGTAAGTAGTAGGCATACATACTTATAAATTTATCATTAGTAATGAGGACAGTCATATCTTAAAATAGTTAATCACAAACACAATTAAAGTCAATAGAAGTTAAATCTGTTCAAGGTCCTGAGGACCCAGTACTCAGGTATGACTTGATGTCAGTTCCAAGATACTTTTGACTATGGCATCAATATTTCATTATTCTGTAAGAATTTGTGTGTAACATGTGTATTTGCATTTTACCATAACATTTGTGAATACTTATGTCATGTATACTCTACATTCATCTAAATTAATGCAATGCGCCAACTTCTATGTTGCAGCACAGATGGTCAGAACCGTGAAAGGAGTCCAAGGCAAAAATGAGACAGAAGTGACAGAATTTATCCTCTTGGGCCTCTCAGACAATCCAGATCTGCAAGGTGTCCTCTTTGCGTTATTTCTGGTGATCTACATGATGACCATGGTGGGTAATTTGGGCATGATGGCACTGATTAAGATTGACCGCTGTCTGCACACACCTATGTACTTCTTTCTCAGCAGTCTTTCCTTTGTTGATGCCTCTTCCTCTTCTACTGTCACTCCTAAGATGCTGGTGAACCTCATGGCTGAGGATAAGAGCATTTCTTTCAATGGGTGTGCTGCCCAGTTCTTCTTCTTTGGCTCCTTCTTGGGAACTGAATGCTTCCTGCTAGCCATGATGGCATATGACCGCTATGCAGCCATTTGGAGTCCCCTGCTGTACCCAGTTCTCATGTCTGGGAGAATTTGTTTCATGCTGGTGATTACTTCATTCCTAGCAGGCTTTGGCAATGCAGCCATCCACACAGGGATGACTTTCAGATTGTCCTTTTGTGGCTCTAATAAGATCAATCACTTCTATTGTGACACCCCACCCCTGCTCAAACTCTCTTGCTCTGACACTCATATCAATGGCATTGTGATCATGGCTTTCTCCAGTTTCAATGTCATCAGCTGTGTTCTGATTGTTCTCATTTCTTATCTGTGTATCCTCATTGCCATATTGAGGATGCCTTCTGCAGAAGGAAGACACAAAGCCTTCTCCACCTGTGCCTCCCATCTCATGGCTGTCACCATCTTCTTTGGAACAATTCTTTTCATGTACTTGCGTCCTACCTCTAGCTACTCGATGGAGCAAGACAAGGTTGTTTCTGTATTTTACACAGTAGTAATTCCCATGCTTAACCCTCTTATCTACAGTTTAAAAAATAAAGATGTGAAAGAGGCAGTGAAGAAAATCCTACAGAAACATGTGCTTTGATGCCAGGTTACATGTCTTTAGCTTATGTTGATTATATTGTATTTTTCATGTTATTTTTTTTAAATTTTTTAAAATTTTTATTTTGCAATACAATTCAGTTTTACATATCAGCCATGGATTCCCTTGTTCTCCCCCCTTCCAACCCCCTCCCCTTCCCCCCAGCCCACCCCCCATTCCCACCTCCTCCAGGGCAAAGCCTCCCCCGAGGACTGAGATCAACCTGGTAGACTCAGTCCAGGTAGGTTCAGTCCCCTCCTCCCAGGCCGAGCCAAGCGATCCTGCATAGGCCCCAGGTTTCAAACAGCCAACTCATGCAATGAGCACAGGACCCGGTCCCACTGCCTGGATGCCTCCCAAACAGATCAAGCCAATCAACTGTCTCACCCATTCAGAGGGCCTGATCCAGTTGGTGACCCCTCAGCCATTGGTTCATAGTTCATGTGTTTCCATTCGTTTGGGTATTTGTCCCTGTGCTTTATCCAACCTTGGTCTCAACAATTCTCGCTCATAAAAACCCTCCTCATTCTCGCTAATTGGACTCCCAGAGATCCACCCGGGGCCTAGCCATGGATCTCTGTATCCAGATCCCTCAGTAGTTGGATGAGGTTTCTAGCACGACAATTAGGGTGTTTGGCCATCCCATCACCAGAGTAGGTCAGTTTGGGCTGTCTCTCAACCATTGCCAGCAGTCTGTTGTGTGGGTATCTTTGTGGATTTC